GCGTGTGTGTGTGTGTGTGTGTGTGTGTGTGTGTGTGTGTGTGTGTGTGTGTGTGTGTGTGTGTGCATGAGAGAGAGAGGGTGTGTGTCTATGCGTGTGCACGCGTGTGTGTGTGAGCGCGCTATGCGTATGTATGTGCACGCTCGTATGTGTGGGTCTGTGTGTGTGTGCGGTCGTGCGTGCGCGTGTGTATGCGCGTGCGTGTGTTTGTGTATTAATGTGCATGCGTGCGCGCGCGCGTGTGTGTGTGTGCGTGTACGTAAGTGCGCGTGCGTGTGTGCGTGTTTGTGTGTTTGTGTGCGTGCGTGTATATATATGCCTTAGTGTGGGTGCGCATGTGAGTGTGTGTGTGCGCGCGACTGAACGCCACGATTCGTTGCAGGGTGATGTCGGCTGCCGACGTTCACAGCCGCATCATGCAGAAGCGCGCCGAGACGGCGGCCAGAGCTCCCCAGAGGGCAGCACAGGCGGTGAAGAAGAGCGCCATCGTCGCAGCCGCGGAGGAGCGCGGGAAGGCTGCGCGCGAGCGGTGAGTCACCGCAGGACTACGGGGATTCCTGTAGTGTAAACACGGCACAGAGGGAATATAACGTGGTTACCTTCCTTTCTTGCCGCGGTATCTCGAACATTTGACGATGTTGACGGCAATGAACAGTCGTTGCTACTCTACCCTAGTTTGCCTCCGTGCGCTTCCCATATAAACCAGGGTAACGTACGTGTCCCTGTTTGTCCTGCGTAAAGAAAACTTGCTGATAATTAAGCGTCCATCACGAAGCCGTTTTTGGAAGCAAACTTTGGCTTTGGTGCCCCGTCCAACTATCTGCAGTGACCCTGAATTTCATCATTTTTTTTAATGAACATGAACGAAACTCTTGATTTGATGTAAAACAGTTTCCCATCCCCCCCCCCCTCCGCGGTATGGTTCTATTGCATGACGGATAGCGACAAGACTGTAGCAGACGACGGCGACTGATGTCGGCATTCTTCACTGCAGGGTGGAGGCAGCCGATGAGAGGCGTCGCGCCATCGCAGGCGAGCGCCGCGCCCGCTACCTGATGCTAGAGAGCAGACGCCGAGAAGCTGTGCAGAGGCGGGCGGAGGTCGTCGCCGCCGCTGATGCTGCCACTGCCGCCGATAATGATGCTGTCGCTGCCAGTGATGCTGCTACTGTCGCCACTGTCGCCGTTGACACTTCTGCAGATGCATCCGACAATACTGATGTCACCATCGCTGTCGCTGCCGCTGATGCTGCCACTGTCGCTGCCACTGTCACGGCTACTGATTCCGCCACTGGTGCCGCCACTGTCACGGCCACTGATGCCGTCACTGTCACGGCCGCTGTCACGGCCACTGATACCGCCACTGTCACGGCCACTGATGCCGTCACTGTCACGGCCACTGTCACGGCCACTGATACCGCCACTGTCACGGCCACTGATGCCGTCACTGTCACGGCCACTGTCACGGCCACTGATACCGCCACTGTCACGGCCACTGATGCCGTCACTGTCACGGCCACTGATACCGGCACTGTCACGGCCACTGATGCCGCCACTGTCACGGCCACTGATGCCGCCACTGTCACGGCCACTGATGCCGCCACTGTCACGGCCACTGTCACGGCCGCTGATACCGCCATTGTCACGGTCACTGATACCGTCACTGTCACGGCCACTGATGCCGTCACTGTCACGGCCACTGATACCGTCACTGTCACGGCCACTGATACCGCCACTGTCACGGCCACTGATACCGTCACTGTCACGGCCACTGATACCGCCACTGTCACGGCCACTGATCCCGCCACTGTCACGGTCACTGATACCGCCACTGTCACGGCCACTACTGCCGCCACTGTCGCGGCCACTGATGCCGCCACTGTCACGGCCACTGATGCCGCCACTGTCACGGCCACTGATACCATCACTGTCACGGCCGCTGATGCCGTCACTGTCACGGCCACTGATGCCGCCACTGTCACGGCCACTGATGCCGCCACTGTCACGGCCACTGATACTGCCACTGTCACGGCTGCTGATACCACCACTGTCACGGCCACTGTCACGGTCACTGATACCGTCACTGTCACGGCCACTGTCACGGCCACTGATGCCGCCACTGTCACGGCCGCTGATGACTCCACTGTCACCGCCGCTGCCGCTACTGCTGCCGCCGCTGACGACGACGCGCGTGCGGCGCTGGGTGAGCAAACCGCCGACCACTGTGCGTCGGTACCGACGACGACGACGCGTGCCGCGCGCAGACGACGCGGACAACGCGGCCAACGACGTCGCGACGACGTCGTCTCGGCTCACGCCTTGCTCAGCCACGCTCCCGTCGCCGCCGCCCCGCCTGCCGACGCGACGGTCGCCACCGACACCGCAGTACAGCCGACGATAGCGGTGGTCGTCGCACGGCCCGTGCGCAAAGACGACGACGACGTGCTGTCGTCGGGCGCCGAGCGAGCGACGAAGGCGAGCGGGCGGCGCGTGCGTCCTGTGTGCAGCAAGGCTTCATATCCCTACCTTCGAGCCTCCTGCTATCCAGGGGGAATAGCAAGAGTGAAAGGGCTACACTGGTCGAGATAGTTCTTATGAATAATCCCATAAAAGTGCGTGCGAAAGACTTTATTGAACTTTTTAGCATCAAACTATAGTGTATAATTTTGTTTTCAAAGTAGTGTATAATTTTGGTTCCTCGGTCGAAATCTGAGAGAAATAAATAATTGTGCAATAAAATAATATGTGTAGTGATTCTATCATTAGTGTACCATTGTGTATTTACTGAATTGAAATGTTGGTTAGATCTATGCTATCTATATAATAATTTGAGTAGTGTCGTTCTGTTTGTTCCTGCATATCTTCTAGGCGCGTGCACGAATCCGGTTGA